TATTAATCATGTCTTGCACTAGGGGCACAATTTCTCCTGTTATCTGTGAAATTATTTCTGATTTAATTTTTTCCAGATCCCCTTTTGTTGCCAGTGCAGTGGGTCCAGGTGGTTGAGTATCAGAGTGTTCCATCTCATTTCCTTTTGAGCTTTGCTTTAGGTGATCTGGAAGTCTGGTTTTGGGACTTATTTATGTGTTTTCTCATTTTGACTGGGGGGGGGCTGCTGTTAGCACCTGCACGGATTACCTCCTCTGAGCTGTGAGAGGTGGGACAGGAGTAGGGATGGTGGCCCAAAAGCTCTTTCCTGTGCCCTGGGAGCAGCGGGAGGGATGGTGGCCTTGAAGCCCCTTCTTCTGGACCAGGAGTAGTGGGACGATGGCTCAGAAGCCCCTTTCTCTGGGCCAGGAGTGGCGGGACAGAAGGTGGCCCTAAAGCCCTTTCCTCTGTGCTGGGTTCAGTGGGAGGGATGGTGGCCGGGAAGCCCCTTCCTCTGGACCAGGAGCAGTGGGATGGCAGCTCAGAATCCCCTATCTCTGGGCTGGGAGCGGCAGGACTCAGTACCATGATCTGGTGGTCTGGTGTCCTCTGTGTCTTTGTAGTGTGGAACCAGGTGGCTGTACAGAGGAGCTGGGGGGGGTGTCCAGTGGATTGTTGCAGAGGCATAGGCTGATTTGGCATGTTCTGCGTGACTCAGGTCCTCATTAGGGCATGCCCAGACCTGCCTGTCTGCAGTGGGCTGATTCGGCGTGTTCCCAATAGTATATTTTCATTTGCTAATCTATCTCTCAGCTCATTTCCTAAAACTACTGTGCGATTTTTGCATAAAGAATTTTAGTTATTAAAAAAGTATCTCACACTCCATATAATTTTGAATGATTTCTTCTTATTTCACCCCAGTTAAAGCTCATGGTTTTATCAGAGAGTTAATATAATTAAGAAAATGGGATAAAAAGTAACAAGCATATATATTTTTGTAAACATAAATATGATGATTCATTAATTATTAAATCCATTTCTGTTTGGAAAATTGAATTTTTTATTATTGAGTTTCAACTATTTTGCAACTTAAATAGGTAATTTTAGGTGGTGGTACCAGTAGAACTGCGTTAAGAGCACAATGGGACAAAATAATGATTGATTAAAATACACCAGACATCATCAATATTTTTACTACTATCTAGTAGCTTTCCAATATTCCATTCAGGGAAATTACTAGGAAATTGGTAATAAACTAATCTATAAATTTAAATTTGATTTAAGAGTGTAAGAAAATAGCCTTTAGAATTTAGGACTTATAGCTCCAAACATCTAGGTATGCCAGCCTGGTTAAGTCCAGTTTATGGATGAGGCACCTGGGTGGGGCTTGGTGAGATCACACTGTGGGACTGAGTCCTCTTCTTGCGATGTGCTGTCAAGATCTGTCATCCCAGATCCATGTGCACTTGTGTGAACTGAGAGTATAGCTGCTGTGTTTAACATTTAAAGCTGTCATGTTAAATAAATACTAGGAAAAAATTCTTTCCTCTCTCTCTTTTTTTTTTTTTATCATTTAGGAAGCTGTGAGAATGTTTAAGAAGGCCTTAGAAGTCTTTTCGCATTCTGACAAAGGACCCAATGCTGTAGCTATTTCAGTAGACTGTCTGCATAACTTAGGTCTTTGTTACATGGAGGAAGGCAACTTGCAAATGGTATTATAGTAGTAAGAAGCATATATTCTTTGTGATTTTAGAAACTGGTTGCTTTCTTTCAGTTCTATTTCTGCAGGGTATGTATAGAGTCCAAGGTGGCTAAAGCTGTTTATGAAGTGTGGCTTAGTATAGTCAGTCTGCACCTGAAATTCCTATGAATTATTTCATTTAATAAATTTTATTTGATTTTAGTTTTATTTGATATTAGTTTATCAGCAGTGTTCTAAAGACTAATACGTGTTTTTCACTGAAACAATAAATCTAACTGTAGGAAATTATATCAAAATAATTTTATCAAATTATTCTAACTATTAAATGGTAAATAGTTTAAATTGAGTGGCAGATGTTTTGTAGAAAAAAATGGGAAATGATTAGAGCACTCTAACTGCTCTTCCTGGTGTTTGAATAATTCAGATCAGATTGAAATTGGTTTTTAAGATGGTCAGATTCATTGAAAACCAGTTGATTCAATTATGCATTTATCCAGTCTTTGACTATTTTGCACACTTCAGAATTGTCACTGATATCATAAATATTTAAAATAGTTGATATTATCCAATGGCTGGTGTAATATATTACACATATGCACACATTGCCCTCTTTATATCATAAAGTAGACAGTGTCTTAAAATTGGATTTTCATAACTTAGAGAAAGAATTGCCTTCTTTACTTGTCCACTGACAAATTCTAGTAACTATCAGTTTAATTACAATCTTTTCTGTGTTTTTAGTCATTTTGGACAATGACAGCAAACTAAGCTTTGCTTTTATAATCTTGGGAAAAATTTTGGAGTTCAATTGCTCTGAAATTTTATGACTATGTATCTGCTATGGTTTTTGAATTATCAGGGAAAATAAATGTTTCTAATTGCTATTGCTTTTAAGAAATGAAACTCAAATAATGATTAAAATTATACCCCAAAAGCATTGTAATCTAATAACATGAATTATATAGACTTAGTCTGGAAATAAGGGAGCCTTTAATCATAATAATTATTCTGGATTGTTCCTAAATATTATTTTTCTTTGCCTCTTGAGGTTCTTTAGGGGAATGCATTTAAAAGGGTCAAAAATAGAGTGAAAGTTTTCAATAATAGTTACAGAATTGTAGTTTACTAACCTTTAAAAATAATATATTCTGTCACTAAGTAATATGCTTTAACGACATACTTTTCTAGGCTTTTGATTGTTTTACAAAAGCTGTGAAGGCAAATCCTGATTTTGCAGAAGGCTTCTATCAACGAGGGCTTTGTAAAGTGAAACTCCAGGGGGATAACTCAATTCTGGATTTTAATCGTGCAATTGCTCTCAATCCAAGACATTACCAGGTATTTTAACTTAAATGTTATCAGTGATTCAGAGAGTGTGTTAATTTTGGTAAAATTATTAAATCTTTTTATGCTATTGCTTTTCGATAGTGACAATTGCTACTAACAATTACTACTACTTTTCAGCCAACTATATTAATACAGATACCTGTATTTCTCCTCAAAGTAAAGGTGTTATTTTCAACAGGGATATTATGTTCATAAAAGTGCTTTGTCAGGGGCGGGTACTTAGCTCAGTGGTTTCGTCGCCTGCTGCACAAGCACAAGGACCTGAGTTCTATCCCCAGTACCAAAAAAAGAAAAGTGCTTTGTGAATTGTGATTGTATGTAAATATTGCTAATATATGAATTTATCTATTAATAATTTTTACTGTTATTAATTTTATCTTGTTGTGACATCCCATTGGTTTCTGACTTGTAATAGACTATAGACACAAGATAAGCTTCAGTAAGTGAAGTCTGACTTGATCTTGATTTTAAAATTCTATGAAATTTGAATTGACTAAATGTTGGATAATTTTAGGGAATTATATAAATCTTATATAATACTATTGTGGTTATATAAGGCAAGGCCTTTCTTTGCAGAAAGTGTGCACTGGAGCCCGTAGAGTGAAGAATTATGATGTCTACAAGGTATTTTCTAATAGTTCAGGAAAAAAATAGATAAAACAAATATGGCAGGCAAAATGTTAATGACTGTGGAATCCCGGAAGTAGGTATATGAGTGTTATACCATTGTTTCAGTCATTCTTTATGTTTGAAATTTCTCTAATAAAAGAGAGTGGGGGAAAAGATTATATTTTAATATCATCTTTGGGTTGCATCGATTTGTTCAAAGTTCCATAAATTTTGATAGAATTGATGGTGTTTCTAGAGTGTTTATTCCACTTCTCTTTTTCTGAAAAGGCATATTTAAGAAGAGTAGCCTTCTATGGTTTAAAAGGCAGATACTCGAAAGCAATTTTGAATTGTAATGAGGCCATCAAAATTTACCCTCAGAGTGTGTGTGCCTATCTCTGCAGAGGAGTTCTGAAATACTACAGCATGGTAGGCTGCATCCTGTCTGCTCTACTGGTCTCGTAGACTTGGTGGAGTCTCTGCACTCTAAGTAGGGCTCACTTTTTTCTTTTTTTTCCTACGGTAGGAGAACCATTGTAGTATGAAGCTCTCTACATAGAATACTTTTCCACAATGTATCAAAGAGAATTTCAACTTGTGATCTTTTACAAAATAGTGAAAAGAGTAATTTTTGACATTTTAAATAACATTTTTTAAAAACAAAAGCTAATACCTATTCCATTGTTGAAAATTTGCAAAATATAGAAGGGAATAAAGGATTATTATTTTACCATCAAATTATAATTGAGAGCATTTTGGAATATTTAAATTTAGTTTTAAAAAAATTTCCTGATAATATATGACATGGGATTATATATTTGTGTTGTGCCTTGCTTTTTATACTTCATCTCTGAAGAAATCATTTTTCTGATGGCATAATAGTCCATCATAATTTATTTTAATTACTTGATTGTTAGAAATTTGGGATGTTCTAAATTTTTAAAAATTTCACTATTTTAAGTAATGCAGTACAGTAATCCACGACTGAGAACAAATCATTACTGCAGCTTATGATTGGTCCCTAAATGGAAGTTACTAGGTTTAAGAATGTGATCAGTACCACTGGTATCTGATGCTGCATGGAATACTTTGTTTCTCCCTACATTTCAGTTTTGACTTTTCTTTGTAGCTATTTCATATGAAATATTTTGCAAATAACTCCCTAAAGGAAAGATAAGACCTTGTGGTATGTGTTAATCCTTGAAAATTACTATCTATAGAAAAGATGATATAAGGTATCAGAGAATAATCAGAGAGGAAGCAAAAGAGAATGTGGGTGAAAAAATCACGATTATGTGATGTGACAATATGAGTGACAGATGGAAGCAAGCTCTGGATTAATATGGACTGAGTCTCTTCTACCAATCAATATAATTTTCTCCATGTCATATAAAAACACTGGTGATAAAGTAATTTACTAGAGTTGTTGATATCTTCGATTTTAGTTGTAGGTGAAAGAAACTGTAAGAATTCTTACCAGGAAATCATAACTCTGAAAGATTAACTTGATTGTCTTAAATGCATAGATGATAGAATGGTTAAATGAGTATGCTCAAACTCTGTAGAATCAATATTTTATTGTCAATTAAATTTCAATCCATTATGATTTACCTTTCTCAATTATCTTTTTCTTTGTAGAATTACAAGTTAGCTATTAGAGATTTAACTATAGCTGTCAATATGGACAAAAGCAGTTATGCAGCATTTTATAACAGAGCATTATGTTACACCAAGATAAGGGAACTTCAAATGGTAAGATGATCAATTTAATAAACAAGTTAAAAACATTTAAGAAAAAGCATGCATTCAGTGGCTTTTTGAATTCAAATAGCAATCAATAAACAACATTTAGTGAACAACATGTTAAAGCATTTGTAAATGCTTTCAAAGTACCTATAAGGTATTTTCTTTTTACTTCTGCTATAATTTTTAAAAAGTAATTCTTTATGGAAATGCATGCACATAAAACTGGAGAAACCAAAGACCATTTCAAGTAACATTTAGTTAGTGTTCACCAAGTTTTCTCATATAATTTCTGTAATTAACCAAATGAAAAATTAATTTTATAATGCTTATATATGTATTGAAAGGTGCATATAAGTTAAAATACATCAAATAAGTATTTTTTGAGTAAATTATATGCTTCCTGCACAATCTGACAGTGATGATCACTGCAATGTCAACATTAGCTAAAGCTATTCATGGAGGTTTCTTATACAGTCCCGAGTCTATACTTGCAGTAGGAAGTTAGGAGTCCACCTCTGGGTACCTTGCCAGGATTCACTTGTGTATTGTGAAGGATTAATGGCTGCAGTGAACATTATTCTCCATTTATCTTCATCTGTTGCCTACTTGTGCAAACTCCCATGTGTATTTTCTAGTCTTACCCCAGTTTTCTCATGCCTTGTTGCTGTGGTCATTTTGCAATGGGGATTCCTCTCTGCAGATCTCCTGGTCTGTAGGCTTAGTGTTCTGTTTAATTTTCTTGCTTTTAGTTTTCTATTATCCACTGGTCTCTCCTCATTTCTGCCCTTTCCATAGTAAATGAAGCATTCCTTTAAAAAAGTTCCTCACCTTCCCACTGTTCCATGTAGAGACACCCTTCCTTCCTCTTTCTGCAAAACTTAGTTAAATCTGTTTAAACATTTAGAAATTTAGACATTTATAAGCTTCATAGGGAAAAAGTTGAGAAACTAAAAGGATACAAAATTCTTGGTAACCAGAGTATTGGGATTTCCCTCAGAAATGTTAACAAATGAATAACTAATTTTTCTAACAAGGGGGTTGTTAAGATTCAATGAGTTAATTAAAAGATCATTTTTTAGTGACCTGCACAGCAGGTATTTTTGATGGTTCCATTCCTTCCAGGAAGCTAACCCTGAAGCTCAAAACAGTGGCTGGGTGGGGAAGGAATTTTCACATTTTTGTCATTTCAGATATATAAAAGAGCCAGTTCCCTGTTAATAAAGAAAAATCAAAACTGCTTGAATAAAGTGAGACCAAATTAGAATAACAAAATATTGACGATTTTAGAGCTGCTAGGACCCCCCAATATTTAAGCTGCTCATTTTACAGACAAGGAAGTGGAAGAAGGGAGAGGTCAGAAAACTCTTCCAAGTCACACAGGGAGTTAGAGACCTGTATTGACGTTCACAGGTTTGTTTGCTTGTGCGTTAACAGTATTTAGGCAGCTTTGTAAAATCATCTGACCTCTAGCGTGTGGGACGGATGTCATTTGCAGTATGGCCTCCTCCCTTTTTGCCTACTTCCACCAGTTTCTCAGCATTCTTGCCATCATTAGGCTGAGAAAAATCAAGTATCTTTAAAAAATAAAATAAAATACACTTAAATGTTCTCTCAGATATGGTTTCCTAAAAAACTAAGCACAGGTGAATTCTGATTCTGCAGTTCTGTATTAATAAAAATCATTAACAGTTACTACTTATTTAGAGAGTATTGTGTGGCAAACACTGGACTAAGAGCTCTAGCAACAGACACTCAAAATATTTGTAATGGACTCTAAATATGTTGAATTTTTAGCATGCCACTTTTACAGATGAGGCAAATGAAGCTCAGGGTTAAGTAACTTTCCCCAAACTGAGAAACTAGTAATAGCAGAAGAAGATACAAATCCAGGAAAGATCACTTGTCATCTTAAAATCTCTGCTCCCCCCCTCCAGTTGACCTTCACGAAATCTCATTTCCTAGCATTAGTTTCTTCTTACGTCACATTTTCAGTTGCTTACTGAAATCTAAGATACCCTACAGGTTTTACATTCTGTGATTCTATGAAAGGAAAGGTTAGACAATTTGGGGCTAACAGTCTAGGTTTTTAAAAAAAGTAGTATGACTGTTTGGTACAGCTCTGACAATGTTTATTTATAATTATTCACATAGTATACATATAAGATTTTCAACTGCACAATGCAGTATTTTTAGACACTTGGGTACTAAATCAGGAAATGCTAGAGAAGGAAAAATGAGTAAAAAAGTGAAATATTATTTATTTGCCATTTTCAGCTGGCAGTTGCTGCTAACACATAAGATTTGGCTCTTTTCTAATCAATCCATATGGCCCTTTTGGACACACTATTCCCTAGGAAAATAATATCAGAGATTCAACTCCCACCCAAATTTAGGATGCTCCCAGTGTTTAGTGAATAGAGGCGAGACCAGCAAAACTTTGTTTATTCAGTGATTGGGAAAAGAAAAAGGTAAAACTAAAGGAAGTCTCTGTAGATTCTCTGTTTAGACTACTGTCTTTGCAAAGCAAGGAATATACCTATCAAAATATTTTGAAGTAATTTTCCTATAAGTGCTTATTTGTTAGTTTTATTAAAATAGATTTTCAGTGATTCATGATTTATTCATTTGGTAAAAACTGTCTATTATGCTCAGTCATGATGCATATTACTGGGTTTACAGTGATGAGCAAAATAGATAAACTCTTGCTCCAGTGGAGCTTAGGTCTTGGTGAAGAAGGCAATAAAATAATAAAAAGAAATTAAATTGTAAACAGTACTCAGTAGTCTGCTTTAATATTCTCAGTTGCATGGTGAACCTGCTGAATGGAAAAGAGATATTGAATCCATCTCTCCAACCCATGCATGAATGAGCATGTACAGGGTGACTCACACATAGAACATGATCTGCAGAACTAGTGGACATGGCTTACTAAAGAATAGCAGTGTCCCTTCACATTTTATGCATAATCATTTTGGTCCCAAATTGTAAGTCAAGTTAAAAAGATCTGTGAGAAGTAATGGCAGAAAACTTACCAAGCAGGGGAAAAGAACTTGACATACAGATAAGTGAGGCATATAGGACTCCAAATAGCCTTGATCAAA